TAGAGGAAGAGCCAGCAGTCAGAACACACATAACATTTATCAATTTAGTTCACCATCTTGGTTTTTTGGGGTTTTTTTGAGTTGGAGTCTCATTCTGTCCTCCAGACTGGAGTGCAGTGGCACGCTCCCTCCCGGCCACTGCAGCCTCAACCTGCTGGGCTCCAGCGATCCTTCCACCTCAGCCTTCCAAGTAACCAGAACTACAGGTGCACGCTACCATATCCGGCTAATTTTTTTTGATTTATTGGAGAGACGAGGTCTCGCCAAGTTGGTCGAGTGGGTCTTGAACCCACAGGCTTAGGCAATCCACTCACCTCAGTCTCCCAGAGTGCTGGGATTATAGGCTGAGCCACCAATCCCGGCCAAGTTCACCATCTTGTATGGGTATTGTTTGTGGCAACCCAAAACAATTATAATAGGACCAGGTGCAATGGTTTATGCCTGTAATCCCAGCACTTTTGGGAGACCAAGGCAGGAGGATCACTTGAGCCCAGGAGTTCAAGACTAGCCTCAGCAGCATGGTGAAACTTTGACTCTACAAAAGAAGAAAAAGGAGAAGTAAGAAATTATAATAGTAACATCCAAGATCACTTATCACAGATCATCATACTGTATAATACTACTAATGAAAAAGTTTGAAATATTGCCAAGAATTACCAAAATGTGACACAGAGACACGAAGTGAGCACATCACATGTTGTTGAAAAAATGACTGAGAGACTTGCTCAAAGCAGGCAGGATTGCCACAGACCTTCAATCTATAAAGAGTGCAGTATCTGTGAAGCAGATGCAATAAAGTTAAACACAATAAAACAAGGTATATCCATAATTTAATTTCTTATTATAGGTCTATTGAGATTTTTCTTTTTTTCTTTACTCAGCCTTGGTAGCTTGTGTCACTCTAGGAATTTGTCCATTTTATCTATGTTAAGTAATTTGTTGGCACATAGTTGTTAGTATTGTTCTTTAATAATTCTTTTTATTTCAGTATGACCAGAAGTGATGTCTCTGCTTTCATTCCTGATTTCTCTAATTTGTCTCTTCTATTTTTTTCTCATTCAGTCTAGCTAAAGGTTTGTCAATGTTGTTGATGTTTTCTTTTTTTTTTTTTTTGAGTTGGAGTCTCACTCTGTCGTTCAGATTGGAGTGCAGTGTCCATTCCCAGCCACTGCAGCTTCGACCTGCTGAGGCTCTGGCGATCCTTCCGCCTCAGCCTTCCAAGTAGCTGGAATTACAGGCGCACACTACCACACCCAGCTAATTTTTTGATTTATTGTAGAGATGAGGTTTCACCAAGTTGCCCAGGCGGGTCTCGAGCCTGCGGGCTCAGGCAGTCCACTCACCTCAGCCTCCCAAGGCACGGGATTACAGGCTGAGCCACTGAGCCCAGCTGATGTTTTCAAATAACCAGCTTTTGATTCTGATTTTCTGTATTGTTTTTCTGTTTTCTATTTCATTTGTTTCTGCTCTCTTTTCTTCATTATTTCTGTCCTTCTGCTTGTTTGGGGTTTAGCTTGCTCTTCTTCTTCTAGTTACTTAGGGTGGAAGCTTAGGTTTTTGACTTGTAATTATCTTTAAAAAAATTAGTATTTACAAATATAAATTTCCCTCTAAGCACTGCTTAGCTGCGTGAGCTCTCATATGTTGTTTCCATTTTCATTGACATAAAAAAATTCTAATTTTTCTTGTGATTTCTTATTTGACTCTTTGTTTATTTATGAGTGTTTTAATTTGCTCATATTTTTATTTTCCAAATTTCTTTCTGTTGCTGATTTCTAATTTGATTATATTGTTGGAGAGCATATTTTATCTAATTACAGTCCTTTTAAACTTACTGAGGCCTGTTTTCTGGGCTATCTTATGGCCTATTCTGGAGAATGTTCCTTGTGTACTTAAGAAAAGTACATATTCTGCTGTTGCTGGGTACGGTGTTGTATATATGTCTGTTAAGTCTGGTTGGTTTATAGTGTTGTTTAAGTCTTCTATGTTCATTTTTTCGCTTATTGTTTTGTTCATTATTAAAAGTGAGGTAATAAAGTCTTCAGCCATTATTTATCGTTGAATTGTCAGTTTCTCCCTTCAGTTCTGTCAGTGTTGCTTCATGTATTTTGGGGCTCTGTTATTAGATATTTATATGTTTATTATTGTTATGTCCTTTCTAATTTACCTTTTGTGTGTGTGTGTGATTTATTGTAGAGATGAGGTCTCACCAAGTTGCCCAGTATTTACCTTTTTATAATTATAATTTATCCTTCTTTATCTCTAGCAACAATTTTTGTCTTAAAGTCTATTTTAAATGATATTAATATAGCTTCTACAGCTCTCTTTTGGGTACTATTTACACAGTATATATTTTTAAATCCTTTTTCTTTTAAACTATTTGTGTCTTTGAATCTAAAGTGTCTTTTGTAGGCAGGGTGCAATGGCTCATACCTGTAATCCCAGGTAGACTGAGATGAAAGGATTTCCCGAGCCCAGGAGTTTGAGCCTAGCCTGGGCAACATGGTGAGATTTCATCTCTATAAAATAAATCAAAAAAATTAGCTGGGTGTGGTGGCTTCCAAGTAGTCCCAGCTACTTGGAGGGTTGAGGTGGAGGGATCACCTGAGCCCATCAGGTTGGGGCTGCAGTGTACGTGAGCATGCCACTGCACTCCAGCCTGGGCAACAGAGTGTGAGACTCCAATTCTAAGTAAATAAATAAATAGTGTCTCTTGTAGACAGCATCTACTTGGATCATTTTTTAAAAATCCATTTTGCCAATCTCTACCTTTTGATTGAATTGTTAATCTATTTGTATTTAATGTAATTACTGATAAAGTAGTATTTACATTTCCTGTTTTGCTGTTTGTTTTCTGTCTTTTGTCTTTTTGTTCCTGCATTCTTCCTTTATTACCTTCTTCTGTGCTAGATAGATATTTTCTAGTATACCATTTTAATTTCCATGTTTTGCTTTTTTTTAAAAGTTGTTTTCAGGCAACGCCTTCGGGTCCCCTCCCACGGTGGGAGCTTTTCTGTCCTCTCAATAAATTCTGCTTTCTCAAAAAAAAAGTTTCCTTAGTGGTTGCCCAGGGCATTATAATTAATATCTTATACTTGGGGAACCTGCACAGTGAATATTTGTATACCTAACCTTGAATTGTACCTCACAATTTTAAAATAAAAATTAAAAGAGAAAAAGAAATCTTATACTCAAATTTAATTTCAATCAACTTAATTTCAGTAGCATGCAGCGTTGCTGTTCCTTCCCTTCTTTTGTACTATTACTGTCATCAGAATTACCCCTGACACATTATAGGTCCATCAATGCAGTTTTATAGTTATTGGTTTATGCAGTTGTCTTTTACATCAGATAGAAAGAGTTATAAGCAAAAATATGTTTATTCTGCCTTTTATATTTGCCTGTGAATTTACCTTGATATGGTTTTATTAGTCAAGGTTCCACCAGAGAAACAGAATGAGAATATATTTATTAAGAAATGCATTGCAAATAATTGGCTTACACAACCTGGGGGTTGACTGGGCAAGCCTGAAACCACAGGGCAGGACTTCAGGAAGGACAGGCTAGAACCCTCAACACAAGCTGAAGCTGCAATGTACACATGAAATTGCTTTGGGTACTTTTAAGGCCTTTCAACTTATTGAATCAGGCTTATCCAGAATAGCTAGGATAATCTCCTTTTTTGAACTCAACTGATTATTAATCATACCTACAAAAACACCTTTAGCCATTCAGACATGTAAAGAATTTGCCCATCAAGCTCCTGTCCTTACAATAATAAAAAGATGAACAAGCAAATATGCCTTTTCTTAGATTCATCAGAGAACTGAAGTCACAGGACAATAGCTACTCCCCAAAATGAAGAAATAGACAGATACTGAGAGTACAGACCAGTTTACCTGTAGCAGATGGACACTTAAATGATAGCGTCAACAAATTTCTGGTGGCTGAATGTAGACTAGATTGAGAGATAAAAACTCTTGGGGGTTCATAGGTTCTCATGGTGAAGACTGGAAAAAGATTATCTCTTGTTTGGTCCAGGTGTGCTGGGACAGGGAAGTAGCCATTCTGAAATATGCTCAGAGAAAAAGTAACAAGTCTGAAATAAGCCCAGAGTATTCTCCACAATGATTTCTTTTACACCTAAGACTTCCATCTTAAAAAATAACAATTATTGGCTCAAGTCTGTAATCCCAGCACTTTGGGAAGCCGAGGTGAGAGGACTACCTGAGCCCACAGTTTTGTGACCAGCGTGGGCAACTTGGCGAGAGACCTCATCTCTACAATAAATCAAAAAATTAGCCAGGCATGGTAACGTGCACCTGTAGTTCCGGTTACTTGGAAGGCTGAGGCAGAAGGATCGCCTGAGCCCAGCAAGTTGACACTGGGGAGGCAGAGAGCATGCCACTGCACTCCACCCTGGGTGACAGAGTGGGCGACAGAGTGAGACTCCAACACAAAAATAAATAATAACAATGATAAGTGGTACTGTATTTTTCATTTCTGTTTCCACATGCTCATTGTTAGTATATGAAAATATGATTGATTTTTGTATGTTGATCTTTTTTTTTTCAAATTGGAGTCTCACTCTGTCACCCAGGCTGGAGTGCAGTGGCATGCTCACAGCCACCCCAGCACCGACCTACTGGGTTTCAGTGATCCTTCGCCTCAGCCTTCCAAGTAGCCAGAACTACAGGCAAGCACTACCATGCTTGGCTAATTTTTGATTTATTGTAAAGATGAGGTCTCGCCAAGTTGCCCAGGCTGGTCTTGAACCCGTGGGCTTAGGCAATTCACTTGCCTTGGCCTCCCAAAGTGCTGGGATTATAGGCAGAGCCACCGAGTCTGGCCGTATATTGACCTTATAACCTGTAACTTTGCTGAATCCACTCACTGGTTCTTGGAGGACTTTCTACATAGACCAACATGTCATCTATAAATAGGGATGGTTCTGTTTCTCCTTTTCTCGTCAGTATGCCTTATCTTTCCTTATGTTCCAGTTACCTTCCTGTGTATGCTGAGGTACAGAAACCCCACGTGTACCTGCGGAGCAGCCAGGTGGAGATTAGCAACCTCTACCTGGGAGTGCCTACAAAGGTGACTGTCATGCTCATCAATGGCACGCTGCTACCCACCCGCTTCCACTGGGGCAAGGTGAGTGAACCCACAGCATTGGGCAGCAGGTTTGCAGCTCTCAGCAACAGAGGCCCATGTGGAGGGGAGTCTTGTCCTCAAACTTCCCCCAGAACAGATGCTCAGCCTCCCTCCCACAGCCATCCCTTACTCCACAGTGTGCAGAAAAGCTCCCTGAAGGAGCAGCACATCTGGTTCAGCTCTTTCTTGCCCTGCCTTTAGGGAATTCCAGTTCTCTGCCCAAGAAGAGTTTCTGTTGAACACAGCTAGATTCTCCAAACCAGCATACCCCATGATTGGTCCATACAGCTGTTGGGAGCCCAGCTGTGGCACTGCCCCTGTGGCTGGCTGTGGAGCTCTGAGTGCCATGGGAGACAAGGCCACACCCATGTGCATCAGAGGCAGCTGCCCTCTGCTTTCTATCATGCTGGCCTCCCAGGGCAGCTTTTTTAGCCCAGGTAACCCACTGACAGGCGAAGTTCAGCTGCAGTCAAGGAGGAGAGAAGGGATCTGTGCTTTATCCCCAGAAGTGAGCACCCTGCCCTGTCGGTCTCGCATGGACCCCCGTCTGCCAGCCTCCAGCCCTACACTCAGCAGTGCTGGGTACTCTGTCTGGACCCTGGTCCATTATGGAGGCCACCAAGTGACAACTGCCCCACTCATGTGTTTGCCAGCTCCTGGGGCACCAAGCGGACTTCTGCAAAGTGATAATCTCCCCCAGACGTGGCCTGCTGGGCCCCAGTGAGGAGTTCCATCTCAACTTGGAATTCACTGCTCACACCCAGGTGATTAAGGCAATTTGGGGCCTGAGTGACTGGGGAGGCCCTCTGCCAACTGTTTGCACCTGTCCCACAGGAGCGGCCCTACCTCAGGCTCCACTCCTGGTCCTTGTGAGTGGGGAGGGGGTTTCTTGCACTTGGGTCTGGGTCCCCCATTCCTGTTGGGCCTGGAACCTAGAGCAGCCTGGATGTGCCCTGAGACCCAGTGGCCATGCCCAGCATTTGGCATCAGCTGTTGCCCTCCTCAGGCCATTTTCTGTGGCCACAAGTGGGCCCAGTTTTCCAGTTTGTCTAGAGATCCAGAGCAGAGCTGCTGCTCACAGCCAGTGCTACTGGGTGAGGGTAACTGGTAGCTAGCCCCCTCCCAGGAGAGGTACAGCTTCTCTCTGGAGTGGCCCAGAGGAAGGCCAACAGGAAGGAACATACTCAGTATGGGCTTGGGCCATTGCTGGTTAGTTCTTTGTGGTACTTATGGGAAGAAAAACTTCTTCCTTGCAGAGATGTGCAGTTTCTTGCTGGAAAATGTGAGAACAGTGGGCCAGAGCTCTAGGATGACAGACAGACAGGACCAGGCCAGGCATGGAGCACATCTCTCCCAGGAAGCATTTGATTTCTAGGGTAGCAGCTTTGTCAGAATAGATGTGCAGCAGCCTCTCCAGAGGCTCACTTTGAGGGGTCTCCCTTCATTGGGGCATGTTCAGGTATTTGGGGCAGACTCAGCCATGAACCCCAACGAATGGGCCAGGCCTCCTGGGGGGAGGGTGTGGGCCGACTTGCTGGGCTCACTAGAGGGACTGGAGAGCCCTTCTACAGAGAAGAGCCTGGATAGAGGCCAAGGCCTTCCTGTTGAGCCATTCACAGCACCTATCTGCCATGGAAGACTATTTGGGCCCATCTTCAGATGCCCCAGCTGTGGGTCTGATGCCTGGATGGCTTTCTTTTAGGAAGAACTGACCAATCTGGTCCTCCCTTGTCACGTGTCAGGCATGAAGAAGCCACTGGTCCTAGGCATTTCTGGGAAGCCCCAGGGACTGCAAGTGGCCATTGCCATCTCTTCGGAGGATTCTGATAGCTGGTGAGCCCAGGGCTGGGGTGTGGAGTAGGGATGGCCTGCAGTCTGAGTCAGCCACACAAAGGACACAAAGGAGCCACGCACGGTGGTACCAGTCTACTCCCATCTGAATTTCCCCCGCTTTACCTCGTCCCTGTCTTCTGTGAGGCCTTTCCCCACATACTTGGAGCTATGATGTCCAGGCCGGCAGGAGATAGCCGGGAACAGGGCTGCAGATAACTTGGGCGGCCCAGCAACAGGGAGGCATGCCAGTGTCCCCGGCCAGCGACAGTGTATGCAGCGTTTGAGGCCTCTCTTGATATCAAGAGTGGGCAAGAGAGGTCTGTGGGTTGGCAGCTCAGTGAGATGGGAATATGAGGAGGGAGCCTGGTGTCTGGGCAGCTTCTGCACCTCCACCCAAGGCGGCTCACTGGGCAGGGCTCAGGGTGGCATGTAACATGGTACCCATGGGCATGGGGCAGTGTTTGCAGCACAGAACAGTGGCCAGGCCCCCCGAAGGAGCTTCACCTGGACTTTGGCTCGACGGTGCCACTGAGGACCCGTGTGACTCGCCAGCTCATCCTCACCAATTGCTCCCCAATACACACGCCTTTCACCCTCAAGTTTGAGTACTTCGGGAGCTCCCAAAGCAGTCTGAGCAAAAAGACCAGCCTGTGAGTCTTGTTTTTCTGAGGCAGTTCCTAGAGCAGATGTAGCCGGGTGGGGTGTAGCCTGTTGGGTCTCTGCGGCTTAGGTGGCCAGAGGTTGTTGATGTGAGAAGTGGGAGTTTGTGGTTTTACAGGTAGATATGGGGACCTGCAGGGAGGAAATGCTTTTGCTCATTTGCCCTGAGTAGGCCTGTGGGAGGGGCCAGGGTTGTGGCTCCTTCTACTCAGGCTGGGCTGCTGGAGTGGAGGGTTTCTGATAGAGCAGGCAGGGTGGGCCTGTGGGTGAGGGAGAAGTTACTGTGAACTGTGTGGGCAGAGGCGTGGGAGGAGCGCTCAGGAGCAGGGAGCATTCAAGGAGTGGTGTGTCTGGGTGGACACCTCTCCTCGTAATCTCCTGAAGCAGTAGAGGAGCCTAACTTAGAAACCACTGCCGTGGGTGGTGGGGAAGCCATGAACAGTTTCTAAGCCATTAACTTTCCACTCGGAAAGTTAGTGGCACCCGGTCTGGACAGATGGTGCAGGAAAGACTGGAAACAGGTCTGTTGCAGAAATCTGGGCTAGAGATGGGGAGCCCGGGCTGGTTCTGCATCCAGGGATAGCCAGAGCTCAGGGTCTGGGGCAGGGAGTCCCTGACCCAGAACTATCCTGGGTTTCTTGGGATGCCGCCCCTGCAGCTGGCGGGGGGTCTGTAGCTGGGATGCCTCGAGTGGTAGGGGTGCAGTGGGAATGCAGACCAGAAAAGGAGGGGAAGAAGAAGCCTGACCAGCTCCCCCTGGGAGGAGCAGGCAGGACCCCCTTCCTCTGCTGGGTACCTGGTAGGTTGCTGGTTGCTATGGGAAGCGACTCAGATCTTGGGACAGGCTCAGCTGCCTTGATCCTATTTCTGGGTCTCCATTTGTAAAGCCCCGACATGCCTCCTGCCCTGCTAAAGACGGCACGAATCCGAGAGCACTTGGCCAGGCGAGAGCAGCTGGGTAAGAGCCCTCGGGGTGGGTCTGCTGGGCCCAGGCTATGGCCAGAGTGGGATTTGGCATGGCTTTCTGAGGATATGGGCCATCTGCTGCCAAGAAAGGAGGCCAGGACCAGAGAACCCCTCAGTGTCTTCTTCAGTGAGGTTCCCCAGATGGCCAAGGCTCTCCACCTGACAATGCCCCTCTCAAATGAGGCCATTTCCCTGCTAGGTCACAGGTTCATGCACAGGGCCTAGACTTGATTTGGGGTGGGTGACAGCTCATGAGGGAGGGCTCCCACTGGGGCCTGTCCCCTCTGGGCATGATCCAGAGCAGTGGGCCCCCAGGTGCTGGGCTTTCGGTGGGAGGGCATAGATAGCTGACCCAGGAGGGGCTTTAGGGGTGTTTTGTCTGGGGCAGTGCTCTGCTAACACCTGAGGGTTTGAACCTCACTCCCAACCCCAGGCCCTGAATCCTTACTCCTGATTTTCCCCTAGACTTTTTGGAAAGCATGCTGTCTCATGGGAAAGGAGCTGCTTTCTTTCCCCACGTTGACCAGGGCATACTGGGGGCCTACCAGCAGCGGATAATCGACATCACAGGCTGTGCCAACATGTGGGGCGAGTACTGGGACAGCCTCATCTGCACGGTAAAGTTGTATAGGAGAGCAGTGGGCTGGGGGGGGTGGGCGGGGAGCCCACACTG